CAGCGGCGGCGAAGCGGCACTGCCCGAGGCGCAGAAGCCCAGCGCAGGGCAGCCCGCTCTCGGCCAGACAGCTCGTAGGCCGACCGAGAGGACAGCGGGCATCGTATTTAAAAAAAATAAATAAAATAAAGCCCCAGGAGCTGCAGCACCTTACCGCGAGCCACCGAGAAATGCAACCCCGTGGAGGACGCGGGCTGCAGGCCGGTGCGGGCCGGTGCTGCTCGACACCATCCTAGGAACCGCGCCGTTTGCCGCACCTCCAGTAAAAGCCTTTCCCCGCGCTCTTCGGTCTGCCTTCCCTGAGCGTATTTCAGCAAGCTCGAAGCCTTCTCCAGAGAGTACGTCCCCCATCTCCTGGCTGTTCCAGCAGAAGCGAGGTCCCTCTGTACAGAGAGATACCTGTGTTTATATTAAAAAAAATACCTAGGCAGCACGAGGGTGATGAGGGGACTGGAGCATCTCTCCCACGAGGAGAGGCTGAGGCAGCTGGGCTTGTTCAGCCTGGAGAAGAGAAGGCTGAGAGGGGACCTAATAAATGTCAATAAATATCTGCAGGGTGGGTGTCAGGAGGACGGGGCCAGACTCTGTTCAGGGGTGCCCAGCGACAGGACAAGGGGCAACGGGCACAAACTGAAGCAGAGGAAGCTCCAGCTGAACATGAGGAAGAACTTCTTCCCTCTGAGGGTGATGGAGCCCTGGCCCAGGCTGCCCAGGGAGGCTGTGGAGTCTCCTTCTCTGGAGATATTCCAGCCCCGCCTGGACGCGGTGCTGTGCAGCCTGCTCTGGGTGACCCTGCTTGGGCAGGGGGTCGGGTTGGGTGACCCACAGAGGTCCCTTCCAACCCCTGCCATGCTGGGATTCTGTGACTGATAACGCCGCATGTTTCTAGCAGTCGCATCTCGGGCCGGAGCAGAGCAGCTCACCCCAGGAGCCAGAGAGAGGAGGCCGCACAGCCCGGCTTTACCCAGCGTGGAAGATGCCTCGGGCAGAGCCCGCTGCTGCAGCGAGGCATGCTGTGCGACGGGCAGACGCCTTCCTGAGCAGCCAGGGCACGGCAGCTCCGCTGGTGCTCGACGGGGGGCCAGGCCGTTTGCTTTTTACCAGCAGTTTCATTGCTCAGCCCTTGAGCTCTAATGCTTGAGGGACACACACCTCGTTCCCCTTCTGCCCCCCACGCGTGTTCCAGAGCAACCAACAACGTGTCGGCGGGCGGTTTTCCCCTCGGGTCTCTTCCGAGCTCCAGTTTCAGCGTGCTTCTCGTCATGGGTGGAAGCAACATGCACCGAATGCACACGACTGGAGTCTACAGCTGCGAGGACTCTCCCTGCGCTGAGCCGTAAGCGGCACCAGGCAACCAACTGAACCCAAACCGACGTGGAACACGCGTTCCGGCAGCCAAACGGCTGCATCACTGCTGGCCTGCAAGAGGCAGGAAAGCCGTGCCTGCGCCCCAGCTGTCTGCCTGCGTTTCGCAGCGAAGCCGTGTTAGTGCTGTTCCTCTTCTCCTTGACAGGGTGACGGTTTTGCTGCGATGGCTGGTCAGCGGGGTCACTCACTAACCCGGGAGAAGTTACAAAGAGAAAGCAGGACGGCGGCCTGAACTTCGCAGTGCAGAGGGGGCCTGAACGACGGTGTTCACAGCATTTCTCAGCCCCACCTGTCCCAGCTCACCTCTCCTCCAAACCAGTGCCCCACCAGCATTTGGCTTTTTCCTACTAAGGAAGTACCTAAGCTGCGAACAGGAGAGGGACCAAAAGGCTACTTATGAGGCTACTTTCCAGCAATTCAAACATAAACCACCCTCACTGCAGTGGCAGCAACAAAAATGCAGCCCCCAGCCACATTACTCGGGTTGTGCGAAGGCCGACGCTCAGATACAGTCCAGATAAACCCCTCCCACAGAAGACACTGGGCTATCGCATGCAGCGGGTGCAGAAGTGAAAATTAGCTGAGGAGGACAGATCCCTGGGCTGTTTCAGTCCAGCAGCTTTGAAAGGAAACCTTCTGCATGACACACTGTTGTATTTCGCTTTTCCCTTCCTGCCTTGTTAGAGTTCTCCCCACACCCTACATTTCCACCTTCCGTTGTGCCTGGCAGATGCGGAAGCAGAGATTTTCCTCTTCCCAGATCACAGCTCCAAGCTCTGGTGCACAGCTGCAGCCAGTGCTGAGGAGACAGGGAGCTTCTGAGCAAAAGCTGTCTGCAAACCAAGGCACGTGTGACAGCTGGAGGCAATCAAGCTGTTGGATTTCCTCTTTTAAAGTTTATTTCTTCTCTCCCTGTTTCCTTCACTTATCCATCCTACCATTTTCCTCATGTCAGCACCAAAACCTCCTTCCCCGCTTCCAGTTTGACCAAATAGTGCTGGGAACTCTGTTCTGTTCCATGAGCAGCACAGGAAAGCAGCTCCCACCTCACCATTCCCCCCCAGCTACTGTGAACAAAGAGCACACTGTCAGCGAGAGCCTGGAGTGTTAGCAGAAGGCACCGAGATCCTTTGAAAAAAACCCCCTGAAGTTCACCTCTGTAGCTATGGGCCTGCAGCACACCACCTGCATCCCTCTACCGTCAGGAGAGGCTGTATGAACTGCACTTGGAGTCACACCCTGTGAGGTTAATGTCTAGATGATATTTAGCTTATGCCCACACCCCTGCAAGCACAGCAGGGGCTTCTCCATCTCCGTTCAGTGCTGGCTGAGTCACAGCTGCCGTCTGTCTCTCCAGCAGCTCCACACATTGGCTTTGCCACCCTGCAAGAGAAAGGAGCTACAACTCTATCACCCCCTCTCTTACTGATTAAGGGGAGCTTACATGGCAGGACAGAAGCTTTATGTGTCCCACCTGCACCCGAGGGATTCACCTAACATAGATCTATTGGTATGTCTCTCAGGGCTGGAAGAGGGGGAATGGCTTGAAAACCAAGCACAATGCTTCATTCTCTACCCTGAATGTTCTCTTGCAAAATTCCCACCTGCGTCACTCTTGGACAACCAGAGCCCTATACTTGTCCCCCAAGGGCCAGGATATTCACAGAAGATTGCAAGGCCTGGGAAAAAACAAAACAAAACACCTCACTTCCATCATTCAAGTCCCTGGAGACGAGGAATCAAAATTAATTTGTGCTTTCTACATTTGGAACACAGAGCACCAAAGCAGGAAACTCTCCTCAAGTTTGTAAGCCCTCAGGCAGAAACAAGGCTGGACGCAGCTGCTGCAGATTCACATCGCCGGAAAGGATGAGCAGAGCGAGCAGAGTCCAGCAGCGGGGCTGCCTGCGCGCTGGCATTGCCGGGGCGGGTGCATTGATATCTGGGGACTCGCTGCGCTGCTCCAGAGCAGGGGGTGAAGTGCCTTCATCTTGCTTCTGCAGCGAACACACGCATTGCTGCCAGTTGCTTCCTCTGAGTTGAGAGGTCACTGGTGTGATTTCAAGCAGAAACATACCCACCCCCTCCCCAGGGAAGGTTTAAGGACTGTTGTTTTGCAATACAGAAGGTCCCTGACCAGCTGCTGCGGGAATTTTCATGGTAAATGCAGCACACACACCACCTTGCTCATGTCTGTCCCCTGCAGGGAGGGAAGGGGAAAGGGAAAGGCATTTTCACAGCTGTGTGCGAAATACATTCTTGAATAAAGACCACTTCTCATCCACCCATGGTTTAATGATTGCTGGAGGGAGATTCTACACCTTCTGAAAGGTCAGTATGGCCGTACCCAAAACGCCGAACAGCAGTACGTTCACCTGCTCCTGCCATAATGAGTGTTCTTCAAACAAGTCTTCAGACAACTTATTTTCTTACTTTCTCAAGCATGTTTTCCAGTCAAGCCCTTGTAGGTTGTATCGAGCGTTTTGGTAACAATTCTTATCAGAATTTAGTTCCTAAAAGGACACATGTTCTTTCTTGGTCAGAAGGAAACTTCATGTTTGTGCAGGGCTGCCAAGACACACATCAGAGTTGTTCTTCCCAACCATGATACTTTATCTTGAAGTCCCAAAGCACCAAAATTCTTCCAAGCAAAAAAAGTTATACGAGGCCAAGAAGTCTCAGTGAAAATCATGGGAAAAGTCACCAGAGCTTTAGGGAGGAGGAAAGCGAAGAAAACATTTGGCTCCCACTTATAAATAATTTAAGACAACCCAGAAGTATCTGTACAAACGCACATAGAAACAGAAGAATCTCATATTGCACAGATGTTGAGAGATTCAGCGACCTCTTGGGGGCACAGGTGGAGGATAAAAACCTTCACAGCTTACAGGCCTATAAAAAGACAGAGAATACAAATGCATTAAAGAAAAAAAGTAGAGAATAGGGTTCTGGAACAACACACTGCATGCAGTAACATCGCATCTAAGAATACGGTACCAGCAATAGCCATACAAGAAGAAAAACAGGCTATCAGTGATTCAGCAACAGAGCAGATACCAAGCATGTCAGAGCCCTGTTCCTGTTTCTTCTGCTCTTCAGCTGCAGGAATTCTACTCTTATTGCAAAGAGATGCTGCAATACTTGTTTGGAGTAAAACTTTGATAGTACAGTAGCTTTCTCCTGACAATTAGATGAAGAGCACTAGGAAGAGAGAAAGATTCAAAATCTTTTTTTCAAACTAACTACAAATATATTCCAGCTATGTTCTTGTCAGAGCCAAGCCAACATACAGAATTTAACTGCATCCACACATTAGTAATTACTATTTCAAACAGTTGAAGAATTTTATTAGCATCTGTACTTAGATAAGCCTCTGGGGCCTGGAGTTCAGAGACTTGCTCTGGTTGGACTAAAGGAATGTTTACAAGTTACTTCAGTTTGTGGTGGTCTGATCAAATCAAGGCAAAACCCCTCAAGACCTTTTACAAACCCAGCACAGTTCTTACTTTGAGGCCAGTCATACACATCAACAAGCGTGCTTTGCAGAGATCCGAAATTTGTAAAAGGACAGAATGTCCAAGGGAATTCCCCCTGCGCTACGCTTTTTATGTGTGAACCGCCGTAACAGCACCGCAGTAGGCACGTTACCAGCTAGGAAACCAGCTCCACCAGGTATTGCAGAAGAGAAACACGGATCCTGCGGTTCCTAACAGCATGTGTTTATAGGCAACAGACTGGTAGATTTTGTTGAAAGACACATCCGCTTCCTGCCTCGCTTTCTGCCCAAGGCTTCCCTATTGATTCACCGAAAGCTGATGTTCGAGCCGCATTTTAGCCCTACCTGCTTGCACCTCGAGGAGGCACTCTGGGAGGCCGTTCTGGGAAAGGCAGCCTCTCGGCTTGGTGGGCAACTGGGCTGCGGCTTCTCGTTGTTTCCTGGACTTCGTTGTCCTACAAAATGAAGAGAAGTGGTTACAGACCACCAGAATTTGGTCGGTCCTTGTTAGCTTCACAACAGAAGTGGCGACATTTTGCCATTTCTGCACATGCAATGCCATCCCCGAGCTTCTTTTCTTCTGCATGCACGTACTGAAGAACAGCAGACCAGGATACAGCAGAGATGAGAGCTTACCTCACTGTCCCCTTCCATCCCACTGCTGACACTCAATATGCTCCGAGTGCTGGAGCGGTTACTTGCACTACCTGGAGCGAGTAAGCAAGAGAAAAAAAACTGATTATTAAATCCTGGTGATGTGACTGCAAATCACTAACCCAGGACGACTCCTAACCCCATGCTTACCTCCTACACACATCATTTAATGCCTGTTTAGATTAATTTATTTCCATGGTTATTTTTCACATGTTCAGGATCCCAACAATGGTACATCATACATCACAGACCACAGAGCCAAACCATTCAGTTTTGTTTTCTTTCTAGCAGATTTCTGCCCTATCTAGGTCCAGGCTTCTGGTTAAATGCTCAAAACTGAAAGGATCCAGTGCCAGTATCGGCTGGCAAGTCAGGTAAATACTTTCACAAGTGTGACACACCCAACATTTCTGTGTATTTCAATTATCAGTCCCCAGGTCCTTAACAACTGTGTGGAGGTAGATGACTCGAGCACTGTCACACAGTCATTCCTGGAACAAGTGACTGCTGGAGAGGTTATTGCTCCCAACAGCTGTTCACCACCTCCCTCACAGCAACCCTTATTCACCACAGGAATGTTTCCTAGTCTGTTTCCGAGCTAAAAATTACAAGTTTGCCGAAACAACCTTCAGCAACCATTTATGCAAACCCATTTAACTTGCACAGACTCAGAGTAGGGAATGTTTTGGCAATCAGTCACGCCATCTCTCAAGGGGACAGCAAGGCACAAACCTATCCTACACTGCTAGGGCTGGTTTCACGCATAAATACATAATGTTCTGTAGGGCTGCGCAGTACTGGAACACTGATGTTCAGAAACCTACACACTGAAAGGGAAGCTAGAGAGGTTTTCTCATAAGATGCAGTCCCTCCCTAGCCTTGGTGAGGTAACTCTCACTATCAGCTGGTACAAACAGCAGCACTTAAGAGTGCTAAATACCGTGTTAGAGTTCCTTCTCACAGCTCATGCCATGGGGAAAGAGAGCCAGGCTGCACACAGTGAGCTCTGCAGGCTCGATAACATTTCTCTCACGACTGCTTATATGCAAGTTACTGGCTCAGTCAGCTGCCTCTGGCACCGACTCCGGATGTGTGCCAGATTGCCAAGAGCCACAAAGGTAGCAGCCTCACTGGAACTCAGTTTTCCTTTCAGAGGACCAAAATCTTGACGATTTCTGCAAGAATTGCTCAGTCTGCAGTAATAGCGAGAATGCAGGATTTAATTTGCACAAATTAAACCTAATAAAAACCAAAGATAATAAAAATGTGCAGACTGTCCAAGTCACTCAAGAGGTCCCACAGTTCCCCATGAAAAATGCTGTCTCATCTACAAGAACTGAGGAAACGGCACGTAGAGACGGTTCCCAGTCTGCAATGTAACTATGCCCTTCAAACCAGAAGAGCACGCTGCCTGCTGAGAGTCACAGCAAGGGAGCATCCTTTTTTCCCAGAGAGCAGCTGCCACCTACTTTTGAGAACGGAAGATGGGTGATATGCCTTCCCTGAGAAGGCTCAAGGGAATCTTCTGCGCAGCTTTCAGGTTCTCCTCCTGCACAGATGCAGACACAAGGTGCCCAAACCACCTGATGTACCTGGAGTTGTTTCTCCAGTTTTGAGAACAGCCAGCCTGAGGCATGCAGGGTTTGGGCTGGCGGTGTCAGTATGGGGATTCAGGAACAGAAGTCCAGTCCCCTGAGCTGACTCCAGAGTCAGGCTGGAGAAGTGTTTTCCATCCAGCTTTCCTGTAGAGAGGGCAACACTTGGGGTTTGCTTACTTGTTGTGCTGGATGTGCTTTCTGTTTTCCAGTCTCCTCGCTTTAACTCCTTTTTTGGTGGGAAAACGTTTTTCCTGGGGGCGTATTCATATATTCCACATTCTGGTTTCCCCAAAGTATTATGAGAATGTCGAATGGGTACTGTAATTTCCAAATCTGGAAGGGAAAATGAACAGCTCAGAAGGCTCTTTGCAAGTATAGCCTCTGAGAGACAGCTTTGCACCTGAGAGCAAAGTCAGGCACAGTCACGTAAGGGCGCTCATAACTGCAGATGAATGAATCAAGATTCGCCCCACAGATGTGGCCATCCTTTCCTCAGTCTGGGAAACTGAGGGGTAAAGCAGCTTCCCTATGTGTTAGCCAACAGGCACGTGGATGTGAATATTAAAATATCACATAACTGTAATACACACAGAGACATTTCTGCCTGAAGAGCCTATTAATATTGTTAGCTGCTTCACTACCAGAGAATGTCAGAATCGGAGACTGTTACCTGCACTTTTGTCTTTTTTTTGCTTCTCCATTTGCCTCCTGGTTATGCTGTCTCGTAGCCGTTTCAGATTTTCCTAAAAACATCACAAGATATTATTTTCAGAGCTTTGGATAAAGGAGGATGAGCAACGTTCTGACAATACCAATATTGTATTTCAGCTAACTTTGCAACCGAGCTGTAACAAAGCCTGCCAGACCTGGCTGAAGTCCAAATCATGCCAACAGGTTTTAATCTATTCCCTTCAGAAATCCACGTGTGCCTTCCAGAAGTCCGTTTTTCTTCAGATGTTCATTGTGTATGTTAAGGTCACGTTTACAGACGCACTGTCAGCTGCAGGTAAGTAGCACATTGGGTTTAGAACTCCCTCTATTTTCTGTTTCCACTGTGACACTGGCACAGAAACAAGTCCCACGATCAAGTAACTGCACAGTCCTTTCTGTACTAACGAACAGGTGATTCTCACTGCAGGAACAGAGGAAGCTGCCACGCATCCCCCAGGCGTGAGGGACAATTCAGAAAGAATTCAGAATGTCCCCATGGAAGCAAGAGGGGACACCTGGAAATGTCACTGGGAGCAAAGTCTCCTCACCATTGTGTGGCAGCATACTGCACCTTACAGTAAGGGAAGGTAGGGAGGAGAGAAAAAAAGCGACAACTTTTCCAGCAAGAAAATATGGACATATGTAAGAGAAGGAAACCCCTGAAGAGGTGGAAAAGCAGACAGAGCAATTGCTGTACTGTGAGGCAAGATCTGGAGCAGAGACTTTGAAAGCTGCTCATGCGATGGGGCACAGAGCAGGCCGCTTCATCTCTGCTACAGGCTTCTACTAAAGTAGCACTGAGTTCTTTATTGACAGAAGGGATTCCTCTGACTGTTTCTGGGTAGAGAGGACCCTTCCAAGTGAGAATCAGGAGAAGAAAAGTCTTGGCTTTGTTCTGACAGCTCCCAAAGTAGTGTCACACACCGGAGACCAGCAGCTCAAGTGTGAGAGCAGTCTGCCTCAAAAGCCACAAACAAAAGGCTCCAAAAGCAGCAGGCAATGGTTTTGAAGAGGGAGCCTCACTCTAATGGGAATGGAGATTATAAACTAAGAGCGCTAGTTCCACCAGTCACTATGTTGCTACTGCCAGTGTAATGACTCCCCTCATTCGGCTCAGCCACCCAGACACTGTGCTTTCACTGATGACTGTCGATAGACCTTGCCCAGCTGCAAAGAACAGATAGTCCTGGAGCCGTCAGACACCCAAGGAGGGATCAGACAATCTACTAGACAGGACTTTCAAAAGGAAACACACCGATACACCGTCTGGGACACTGAGTCTTCACTGCTCTGAAATGGATGAGAACTGACAAGCTGAATGTCTGTCACAGATGTCCCCTGCCAGCAGGTAGGTGCTAGGTGACCTCTAGAAAGGTAATTTAGCCAACTGGATTTGGCCCAATTCCTAATGTGCAGATCTCCAAAACCTAACAATACTACTGCAAATCAAACAGCTCTGTAAAACAGCTACCTGCTTGCTGCTGCACGGGAACAGCCCCTCCACGCCAGGAGAGAACTCAGCTAGCCGGGGGACTGTGTTAGCAGCCTTCCTGCTCCAGCCAGGAAAGCAATGTACCCCCACTGAACAGCTTGTGATGTGTACCCAGAGAGACAGCTGTATTTCTGAAACACTGGAGTAAGGCTGTACCTGCTGGAACCGAAATGATTCCGATCTCTTCTTTTGGTTCAGCTGCCACTCCTTAAAATGAAGTACAGCTTCATCGACGGTGAGTATGCCCATTTTCACTTGCTCCTGTAATGTAATCAGCTGCCGTTGACCTGGGGTTTTCATTCCGGCGAATGGATCATATATGCTTGATTGAGATGGGTCCCTTACAGGCCTGACTATTGTCTCTGCAGAGAGAAGCACACCAAAAATATTACTGAAGTTGCAGCATCTGCCCTCCTCACTGAATACAAAGAAACTCAAGCACCCTTGATATACCAGAGATGCCAAAAATAATCAATATTACAGACTGAACGTTTCCCTAACCAGAAGAGTGTTTTGTCCTTACGCCATCCTGCTATTTGTCAGTGCTAAAAGCCCAGCTGAGAGGTAGCCTTGTACACAAACAAGTCCCAGGGATAATCTCTGTTCTTAAAAACATAATTTAAGTGAACAGCACAAAACGTAGTCCTTAAAGTGCTCTGCTTCCTCACTGCAAAAAATCTCTCTCTCCTCAGCAACCCACAAAACAGAGCTTTCACCTTGGCAGTCAAAAAGCTAGGTTCTTGCTAGGTAATCCGTGCAGTGTAACTCCAGAAACAGCAAGGTGAAAACTCATCCCACTGATGCTGGCTCTTTGTAACTCGTTTGCAACATAACGAGGAGTTCCCAACACACGATAAAAGCTCAAATGTGGTTCCTGGCACTCTGACAGCGCACAGGATAAGAGCTGAAAGAATAGCGGCACAGTTCTGGAAGTGCAGAGATCAATGGCAAGAAGTTCACTAAAGGTTAAATCCCAGGAAATAATGATCAACAAACAGTGGCTATATGCAGAAGATCAGAAGTGGGACATCAACTCCGTGAAGTAATATGGGTCACAACATCAAAAAGCACTTCAGTGATCATTATGGACCTGACTGAGTATAAACCCCACAACAGTGGGTACGCACAGTATGTGATAACAGGGTACTCCCCTCACCCACCGCAGCCAGAATAAGTTTCCCATGTCACATGAGCTCAGAAAGGTTGGGTCACTCATGCAGGACTATTATCCCCAAAGTCTGGTAAAACAGACTCTTCTGTCACATTTCACACAAATGAAGCTACCTCAGCAGCTTTGCTTTTGGATTACTGGAAAGATTTTCAGGGTGAACTTCTGACTTACCTTTCTTAACCCTTCCTCTAGGGACATAGAGATTCTCAGCTCTTTGAGTTTTCTGTGCAAAAACTGTAAAACAAACATTCTTTAGATACTTCAGTGCATCTCAGGAAGACAGAAACAGCAAGGGTGATTATGGGAAGCATACACAATTCTGCACTGTGTTACAGCTCCTGCTGCCCTACTAAGTCCACTGCAGAAAAAAGATACGGAGCTGTACAGTAGAACTCCCCTTCCATTGACCTCAAAGAATTCAGCTCAGCCACCTCTAAGAGAAATGTGGACATGCTTTCCCCACAGCGCTGTCACGGGGGGAAGGAGGAGTCACTGAAATTACTCTCCCACACGTTACTGTAGTTCTTGCTAGCACATTTGTGAAATATGATCAAGATTTCAAAAACTGCCTAGCAAACTGAGAGGCAAAATTTTCTTCAATTTAAATTAAATTTCACCTCAGAGGGAGGTATTGAGGTATGGAATCATGTCCTATACAAATGCTATTGAATCAATGGTACTGTTACAGAGCAACAACATCTCAGTTTATTAGCTTGATTGTGTCCTTACAATATCAGGATCTTTCCTCTCTAGTTGGATTTGTTTATACCGTTTGGGGGTAATCTGTCATCCCACTGATTTCATTAAGAGCAAGCTCAGGCCAAGACCTCAGGATACAACATTCTCGCATTTTCAGAGTAGGCAGAAGATGAAAAACAGATCTGAAATTGGATCCCAAAGGTAATCCAGCTCCAGAGCCAAATAATTTAGGGGTCTCAAAAACGTGCAGATTTTCTTTGCGTTTGTTCAGCAACTGGAGCCCATGCAAAGGCCATTATACAGTCGAGCAGTCTACAGTTTAGGTCCTGGTACCCAACTCACTTTTGGAGATGTACAGCTCATTGTCCGGCTGTGGAGAGCTGGATTCTGGTCTTGGAACAGGAACTGGAGGTCTGCTAGCCATTTCCTGTGGAAAAGTATCTTGTTCCACCGAGTAGTACACATCTTCACCATACCGTTGGTAAACTCCTTCCTCTGAATCTGGCACGTCCATGCTACTGCCTACAACAGAGTGGAGTTCGTAAGAAAAACAATCCGACCACTTCACTGAACACTGGATCCCTCCAGATGCACTATGTACCACATTCTTACCAGGCAAAACCACCCAGATCTGCAGTGATTTCAAGTGCCAAAGCCCTTCAAGATAGGGCTTCATAAAGTCATTAACATCTAGAGGCATGTAGGTGTTTGCCACTAAGCCTGTACCATCTGTTTCGATGAAGAAACCATAGCAGAAGATCTCATAACAGTTTTAAAGAACTTGAGGAACAGCCAGTTCAATTCATTCCAGCTCATTTACGTATTATAACAGTTTGCAAATCAAACAGAGCACTGGTTTCCAAAAGCTACTTGTGGTGGTCTACAAAGCACTACAGAAAATGATTCCTTTGTCTGAAATGAGCAACCACCGTCAGCTGACAATATATCTGATCTCAGAACAATGTGTGGCAGAGGGAGCTGGGTACACACATCTTGTACTTAACAAGACCAGCTATGATTATACCACCTCATCATCTCCGTTCTGTTCTCACTCCTAACATGATAGCAAAACCATCAAATGCTGTCATACCTGATTTAAAAACTAGTTTCTCTCTGTTTGCATGCTAGCAGAACAATTAAGAGCCCCTGGACTAACTCCCTACTCTGTTACCAAGTCACAAGTGAACACCCTAACCGCTGGACTGACTTTCCTTCAGTGATAACACCACCTAGTTAAGTCAATGCATCAGGACTGCCAGAGCACCAGCGTTGGCAGGGAAAACAGAACAAGATGTTAAGACTCCCAGACTTCATCGTGCTCCGAGTCCAGCTGGGTCACCCACAAAACGTAAGCCTGTATCCCATGGAGCGTGGTGAGTCAGGAAAAGGCTTGGACAAGCCAGTCATGCTCAGTGGGGTTAGCAGGGAGCTAAGGTCTGGCTTTGGTCAGAGAAGGCAGAGGGAGCACTGAAGAGGCAGAGCACAGATCAGATTTGGGACCCAGTAGTTCTTTTCCTCTTTCTAGACTGCTGCTTTCAATGGACACTTTTGAATAAAGCATCTGCATTAAAGTTCACCACTAGCCTGTGCTGCTCTACTTTATACTCAGCCTCTGCCCATGAGGGGAGCCTGCACCCACATCAGCACACCAGAATTAATCCCCATCATTAAGATAAGGACAAAAGACAGCCACTCCTGAACAGATACCAGCTGTGTGCTTGCACTCGCTGGTAGGCAGGGACTGGAACTAGGAACTAGAAACCATTCCTCCTCTTTGGTAAGAAACTAACTGCATTTGGTAAGAAACTAACAGCTGCTTTTTCTGTTGAGCCTCGTTTGTACCCAATAAGGCCTAGCTGTCCACGTCAAACAGTGTGGACTAGCTCCTATCCTTCACAGATCAAGGAGAAATCTCAAGTTCCATTTAATTGCTTTAACTGTGCTACTGCCATCCCTCTCTCCAAACAGGTCTCACCTTCCAAAAACTTGCGGAGCATTGAATCTTTCGTAGTTAGAGAAACTTCATCTCCAGCAACTGGAGTGTCTGGTTTGGACTGAAGCATCTCCACATCTGAAAAAAATCAGAAAGAGGAACCTGTGGATTATGCCCTTATACATGTGGAACAACGTAATATAAGAAAATGATGGAATGTTTCTGACTGGACTTGATTTTATTGTAAAAATCAGAGGAAGGCAGGCAACCGGCCAGACATTTGCCTCAAAAAAGGCTCCTAAGTTGCTCCGTTCAGTTCACTCTCCACAAATCTTTGCCAGCTGCCTGATGCTTACACTTGAGGGTGACTAACATTGCTTATTGAGAAGTTCTGACATAGCTCCAAGCAGACACTAAGGATTAGCAATTATTGAACGTGTGTGTTGGCCAGGTGAAGGTTTTCGCCTCTGCACAGTGCTCCTGAGAGGCCAAACAGAGGAAATCCTGTGACTTGGCAAAACAAGGCATTAAGGGCAATTTGCCCGTGACACAGAAGATAGTATTTGTTTTGTTTACTGGACAAAAGTCGAAACAGCTGGCTGAGCTAATGAGTTGGACTGGAAGGTGCTTACAGGGTCAGATGATAATTTAGTATTGAGAAAGGAGTGACAGCAAACAATGAGATACTTTGTCAGGTCAGTGTTTTGACATGAAGAATTTTGATTTTTAAAAAAAAGTGTCAACCTCATTGTAACCCTCATCCTAAAACTAAACCTAAAATGTTAGGTAACCATGCTCCTAATGATATTAAAAACAAGAGTGATGTAAACGAACTGTTGAGGCTCACCGATAAGTGAATTGTTGAGGCATATTGTGAAATATGTATTCCTATATAAACTAGATGGTTTGGGTTACATGAGAGAATATGAAATATTTGTGTATAAACGTCTTTATTATTTGCTGACCTTTCTTATTTTTTCCTGCAAAGATGAGATTATGAGAAAGGGATTAGAATATGCTAGCAAGATTTTGCTTTGTTAGAGTGTTGTGGGGTTTTTTTAACCAATAATTGCCAAAAGACCCACTGACAGTCACGTGAATGCACCCAGCCTAGCTCTAACCTCACAGGAATACCTCCAGCATAGCCACAGCAACTCTGCCTGTGCATTATATACGTGGACTAACCACACCAGCAGCTTCTCAAGAGCTCTGCAGTCCATGCCAAGCTGCATGCTGCTGGAGCTAGTGTGCTCACCAACCACCTAATATAAAGGTCACTTAAGTACTGCTGCACTACAGGGAAGCACAGATTTGACATTTGAGCGTCCTAAAGAATCAGCACTACAGACCTGTATTTTTCTGCAGAGCATTTTTTCCACCTTGCAGCCACCTTGACTATTTTTAACACAGCTTTTAGACAGGAACCTGTAGCAAACACCGCCCCAGAGGAAAGCTGCTGCTTTATGGATTTGGGGGCAGAGCAGCGTGTGACAGGTGTGCAACACTGCTTTCATTCGCTGTGGAGGGAACAGTACCTTCCCAGTGTTGGCTGTGCTCTGCGGGGTAACTAAACTAACAGTGCAACAGGATACTGCAAGGTTTGTTTTCTATCACATAGTCAACGCAGTTAAATTCATCAACTAATTAGTTCTCCTCAGAAGACATGATTACCACCTCGCTGCCCTCTTGCACACAGGCCTGCCTTGCATACAGATGAGACCTAAAATCTCACCCATGTACTAAAACTGACAAGAAGTTCTTGACTTTGCCAATGACACCTTCTGTTTTACTTGCTGCAGAAACAGGCTAGTGAGACAGAAGTGACAAGAAGGTGGCGCACACAAACTTCGGGTACCACAGGAAAGGTCCTCACATTTTCCTGAGGCTACTGGGAAAAGCTGGTCCGAAGGGTTAGCGGGAAGAGGGTTAAGCAGTTCCTAGATGTCTGAATTTAGTAGCTGAAAGATATTTATTCAAAGAGTTTCAGTTTTCTTTTGCAGGGTTTAAGGCTTCAGAAGGGAGCTCAAATGATCTGCAAGCAGACAGACATACAGAAGATGAGTTATGACCTACAGACCCTTCACAAGAGCTAAAATATCCATGTGCAGGATCCCTCTAGGAAGTAGGAACACCCTTCTCCCCTTAAACACCTCTAAGCAATAGACGCTGGGTATTCCTGAACATGAAGCAAGCTACCTCTTCACAGAGACCAGTTCTTTATTGTACAAGACAAAGGCTTCAATGCATTGGTATAAATCACAGCTTGGAACTTTATCAGCAGTTACATTTTTGCACACAATTCTCTCAGTTTGCTCAAGGATGGCAAGGAGGCTGCTGTTTCTTGCATTAACTCAGGAAAAAGATAACTATCAGTGAGGACAGTGTTGAAAGCTTCGTCTGAAGAGAATAAAAATGGTGGAGGAGGGAGAGGACATGCAAGAGAGGAGAATAAGGGCATGACCACTAATTTATATGTGAACTAACACCTACTCTTTAGGTGTTGGAGGTCTGCAAATTACAGGACAATAGATTTTAGTCAGCTGAAACTCCCTAGGATAAAGGATTAAATCTCTGCACGAAACTCACACTATCTAGAGTCTGAGTGCCCACACAGTTCAGACAGAGTCCGGACTTGTTTCCACCAGCCCCTGGCCACTGCCAAAAAAAAAATCTTTCCCAAGTAAAACCGCAGAATAACCCCCCCACACCAGGCAGTTGAATCTTGACGCAAATCAAAGAGGTTTTCAGCACTTTCAAGAGTCCTTGCTCTCAGAGCCACCTCCTGCACACAACTCCAGCCTACTCAGAATACTGTTTTGCAGAAATCAGCAGGAGGTGCTGGCGAAAGGAATGCAGAAAACGCAAAGCACTCTAGCTGATGCTGTAGTTCACACTACCAGACTGACAGGATGGAGATAACTCTCTTTTTGCTATTCAGCTGCTGTTTGTTACAGTGTGTGACTTGGCTAAATGACATTTACCTGCAACCTGGAGCATGTTCTGGAAAATTATGTTTGATTTCACAGGTATTGGAAAAGTGTAGTAAGAGAGAAGTGCTCTTCTGAAGTGGGAACAAGTAGATTAATGATAAGAAATTAAATAAGGTAATTCAGTCTCCTTATTAAAGAATAGCAAACAAGGCGACAGCAGGAGCTAGTAAGTTCCCACTGATTTAGTTAGGAGCACTTTATGGTCTGCACTGCTCAGGGCACCAAAACCTACCCAGGACAGAACGCTCCCCTCCAGCAGCAGGGGAGGCAGGGTTCTGCAGGTGAACAAAACCTCGTCCATTTTTTTTTTTTTTCTAATTCCATCACTTATCCCAAAACTTAAAGTGACAACTAGCTACTCAACACAGGTGCGTGCAACTCTCATGCAGCATCAGTTTAAGCAAAATCGGGCCCTTGCACAGCTTCTGCACTTTCTCTGTAAATGTTTCCCCAGGACCAAATGCAGAGAGGAAAAAAACAACACATAAAAATGCATTGAAAAACCAGAAGTGGGACAAAGAATACAAGAACTAACAGAACACTCCAGTATTCAAGTATTTGTTATTACTTTTAACTCACTACAGTGGCTCCAGTCCTGTGTTATTCTCAAAGCAGTTCCCGCCAGACAAATTGACCCCATAGTATCTAACCTTCCTTTGATCAGGCTCTGAAAAACCATGGTGGAAGCACATCTTGACCACAATAAATGGGCATGCTGCCACGGTATGGCTACACTTCAAATAGCCCATGTGTTGTCCTCTACACCACAGCCATAACTACTCACATAAGGGCTACTCTGACCCAGCGAAAGTACCTCCATAGGAGTTGTTTATGATTTCCCAGGGAGTTTTTCATCCTCACAGATCTTTAAGTCAGTACAAAAGCTTGAAGCTTTTATTTGTGATGGCGGTTCTGAACCAGCCAGCACTCCCACTAATTTTAGCGAGGGTTTGCCTGTGTGCTGGTATTCTAAACAATATCGAAACACCTTTACTTTAGGAGCAGCAATCCAAGCGTTGAGCATTGTGCCAATTTATCCTCACCTGTTATAAACCGGTAGATTTCAAGCACTGTTCAGACAAGCTGTAAAGATGCTCCAGACAAAGACTAACAGACTACATAAGAAAAACAGAGATTTTGAGTAAAAGAGTGGAAGGTAAGAGAGATCTGTGTGCAGGAGCAACACACTAGGAGAACTCCAGAAGAAGCAGGAAACACCCCCACATTCCTTGTGCTGAAGTATTACAGAGAAGCCATACACAGCACCTCACCAATGAGGAAAATATTTTAAAATGCAGACTCATTCAGCCCTGCTTCTCAGCAAAGGAATCAGAAGTATCTATTTTAGGGACAGCTTGGGTTTTTACCTTGCTAGTTCTACTAGCCCTGCGGAGCCTGCAGCACATTTGCTGGCAAATGGTTTTCTTGTCAGGAAGCAGTTCTGACCTAAATCTGAACCAATATGAGAGTATTTTCAGAGGCATTTCAGAGTCCAGTTCAAAACTGGTAATTCACAGGGAGCTTGATCTGCATCCACAAAAGAAAGGAATATCCCCTGCACAGTTTCTGGGAGATCTGGACATTTCAGGGGTGGAAGACGACAAGTTGGGCTAAGTGGTTTTAAACATGTTTTTTCCTCCTCCACCGTCTTAGTCAATCAACCCAGTTCAGAGGTGCACTGACTGCAGGCAGAGCTTCCAAACATCCAGAAACTCTCACCCCCATTACTGCGAACAGCAGCAGCTTTGTTCCTTAGGCATCCAACCCGCCTTACTGCTTATCTCCACCTGAAGGCAGAAGAATGCTGGGTTTGGCAGCAAAACTCCCTACAGCGGCCAAACAAAACTTCACAAAGAAGAGTTTATGATTTCAGCCGGAGAACCGAAAAAGTCTTCCGGACTTCATAGCCAACAAAAATGTGTTTTATAACATCGCTTCATCTAAAAGAGGAGAAAATCAGCCCAGGACAGATATAGTCTATAAGCAAAAGTGGTTCAGTAAGAAAGCTTTTCCCCTGAGGTAGCACACTTAAAACTGCAGAAACACTACAATTCCTTATGCAGGTACTGAAACTATAGTAAGCTAGATTCTCTGCTCATCATGAGAATCATAAAATATGTCAGTGGGATGAAGCCAGGCCAAACAGGCAGATAAGTAAGAACAGCAAATTCACAATTGCTTAACACAGGTACTTAACCTGATATTTGCAATCTGCCCCAGTGAATATTAGTGGAATGGTGAAAAAGTTAAACATCTGCATATTTATCAGAATTAGGTCTATATTTTTAGCAATAAACAAAGTGGATTAGAATAATGATTTTTCATTTATAATCTCATCAGTACACATATTTCTAGATGTTCACTTTCTTTTGTTCTCAAGCTGTTGAACTGTTGTTCTCAGCTCTTGTTTTTCAGCTTCCCGGCTGTCAGTAAAATCACATCTTACACGGTGCTCTTTTCGACCAGTGTCTGTAAGTCAGAGTGTCCCTGCGTCCCTGGATCTCAGGAGGAGGACATGGTAGAAAATTTGGTCTCTTCCAAACACTAATTCACTTGCTCAGGGTTCAGGGTGTCCTCAAAGCACTGAGGAAACAGCTCTATCTTGTACACTGGCAATCAAAGAAAAGTTTAGAGCAATTTTATCAGCCAGCCAACATCAGACCTGCAGCATGGTTTCCTTGTGGTGAGCGCAGCAAAGCTATACCCAGCCCTCACTGAAACTCAGCTGAGGCGCTACCGTGTACGAGAGAGACAGATGAGCCTAGGCCTCTTGGACAGGGCTCTGAGCAACCCGATCCAGTTGAAGTTGTCCCTGCTCACTGCACGGGGTTGGGCTAGCTGACCTTCAGAGGTCTGTTCCAACACAAACCAGCCCATGATTCCGTGATTCTATGAAGATACATACAGAGATCTTCTGAGGCAGCAGGGACAAATCCAGCCATGGATTCATAAAGCTCTTCATCGGAGCCAGGATTCAAGGAACATTTCATTAGCAGATCAGTGGACAGATGAGCCATGGACTCATAAACAGACTCATCCTCCTCGCCTTGCATCAGCTCTTCTTTAATGTGACTCTTCAGCATATCTGCAGTTTCCTGGAGAGGAAGGAGGGCAACAAAAAAAAAATGTTCACGTCTCATTTAAATAAAGAATGTGGAGAATCAAAGCAAGCAAAAGATGTCTCACTCTCCCATCACTGATGGAAAAAAACTTCTAAAAGCAGCCCATTCCCAAAGACTAAGGCTTCTCAAAGGAATTAATTTCCCCCTATAGCTGTCTGGGCCCAGCCTTCAAGATGTACATAGTAACAATAGGTAAAGAAGGTGAAACAAGTAGGTGCTGACACATTCTGAATGACCATTACAGCCTCCCATCCCCTCAATCTCACGTCCTACCTGATGTCTGCAAACTCCTAGAACATAAGCAAAGCTCATTCTAAAGATACAAATGCTTGTCAAAGGCTATTTTGGGGCAAGCGTAGCTGACCATAAGGGGGAAAGCTTCCCACATGTGGAGCACTTGCAAGAAAGCAAAGTTTTAGCTTTGGTGTAGACTCAGTTTCAGTTTCTTGGCACTAGCAGCAGCACGTAATACCCAGAGTGGGAGTACACAGACCCTTTTCTGTGAGATTAACAGGAAACCTCACAGCAGGCAGCTGTTCATGTAATACAGGCAACTTTCGATTCACAGGACAGCAGAACCCTTTCCTCACATATTTGCAACATGGGGTGTGGGGTAGGCAGTGCAGATCTTTACCAAACCACGCAAGGGGGCAAAAGTAAAGCTTCATCCCAACTTCCTAATGAAGTTCCAACTATGTCACAAGCACAGCCGTATTAACCGGTGCAGAGGAACTTTTGCCAGAGAGAGAATTAGGTGAGTAAAGGGGTTTACTGGGATTTTCAGACACCCATACTAGTAGTGCTTCTAGTCACTACCTTGCAGTGGACAAACTGGTGCAGATCATTTGTGTGCTCTGGTACTAAGCCGCACAGACAGCTTGATGGTTAGTAAGCAGGACCTGCTCTTAACACAGCTCTGTCACTGGTAGAGAGGAGGATGTAGGAGGAGAACAGTACTGCAGTAAGAGGCTGGAAGGACTTCCTAAGAACCTCTCACCCCAGTGCAAAGATTTTAATCACACAATTTACAGTTTCTGCAGCCCTCCTGATCTCAGAACAGGCAATGATCTTTATTTAGCCCTAATGTATAACCCTAAATTCATGCCTATGTCAAGAAGCAAGCCCCAAGTCTAAGAACCACCCATGCCTTCTAAATAGGACTTAAACACTACCGTAACCGGCTGGCAGATCTACCACCCACCATTCCAGTTACGCACAACTTTTCAGCTGAAAGCAAAGGCAGATAAAATCTGCTCCAGAATTCACATGATCCGAGTCAAGGAGCTGCTTGTTATTTGGAAGCACACAGGCTGAAAACAACTCAAATGGAAAAGAAAGGATAAACCCCATGCACACCGCAGGGCCCCACAGAACAAACTGCCTGGTGCAGCTGCAGTTGGGTCCATGTCATAATCTGGAGAAGTCAGAGTGCTGTTTTCTGGGGAGGGGCTTAGCTCAAAGAGAACCGAATTGTAAACTGGGTTCCCCAGAGAAAACAAGCAAGGAATGGACAGCTATCTTAATGCAGGAAGAAACGGATTCCCACTGGAGCAGGCAGACTACACAGATCAGCTGTGAGTGAGCTAATCGGCAATCCAGACTGTACTATGACTAGTCAGAGAGCACCTCAGATTGCACCTTCCCAAACATATTCTGTTCCCATATTACCACCTAAAGTAGGTGGGATGAAGGGGCTGTAGTTTTCCCAAGACCAGAGGTTAGAACAGTACATCAGGCACCAGCCACACCCCTGCAGAAACTTCATTAGATGGATGGATGATACGGAAACCCAGCACAGCAGTCTCCCTCTTATTTGCTCTGTACAAAAGCCCCAAGAACTTCACCTCCAGAGATGCACCCAACCCTCCAGGCTGGAAGGTCTCAGTGTGGCTGGATGTGTCTTCTACACCCTACCACACTGCACCCTTCATCACCCCATCACTCCTGCTTCCACAACGCCAAGCTTGGTGGCACTGCCCACACCTGCTGTGGGACAATGCAGAAGGACTGCTGCTTCCTCTTACCACATACTCATCGATGAACTGGCGGAGGTCCTTAAAGCCATGCTTTTCTGCTATGGTGTTTGGATAGTGGCCATATTTGTTGGCTACACTGTAGGCCTGCAGTGCTCCAGGGCATGTAAGCAGCAAGGCAGTGAGGTTCTTCAGCCCGTATCTTGCAGCAAAGTGAAGCAGTGTTGGCAACTCCTCATCCCTCTGATCTGTGAGAACACGAGCCTGTTAGAATCTAGGTTTCTCTCTAGCAGCAACAGAGCCAGTAAGTGAGAAACAAAACTCCTAGCAAACACACAGACCAAAGCAGGTGTGAAAGCCCTGAAATGTACACATACAGTTTCAGAATGGAACTAACTCCGCACAAATTAACTGAGGTAGTTAGTACATCTGCGGGCTTAAGTCCTATGGCCTTTAGTGGGGATTCTGGCACTGTAATAGCTTAACGTATGTAGGATCTCAAGTTTGCAAGGACCTCTTAGATCATCATTCCAGTAGGAACCAGCTGCTATAAGGCAACCATGCCATGGTGCCACACCAGTCCAACTGCTGAGTGCCTGCTGTGCACTTCAGAGCAGAGGCACGGGGTTGGGAGAAAAGGACTGGGCAGGGGAGAAACGCCAAGTGGGACTGGGAGGAGAACAAGGGAGAAAACATAGGAGACATTTTGGGCAGCATCATCTTTTCACTTTAGTTGTGTTTGAAGCTGTCTACATAGCCACATCTGTCAAAATGTAAGGAAGTGAGACTCATGCATGTAACAAAAAAAGGGTCACCTGACCCAAATGGCAACCCCTCTTCTACAGCCACCATCAGAAATTTAGCTTTCTGACTGAGATACAAGATTTCTGAGACAGCCTGTGCAGATACCACACACTGCAGTATTAAGGCGGTCCAAGGAAAAACTACTGATACAGACAAAGTTTAAAGGAGAAAACAAAAATCTTTCAGCTTACTTGTTGTCATATCTTCTTCTTCCAGCTGGTTGATTCCAAACAGGTGTAAGCCACTGGCAGGAATGTTCTTCTTGAGTGACTCAGTCAACAGTTTGTCCAAGGCTTCTATGCTGTATGGCACGATTTTAAAGGCCTAGAGACAAATGGAAAGTGATTTTGTTTGGGGGAGTCTGCAGATTCAGTGAGGGTGAGATTTACAAGGCATTTCTTTATTTAGCACATATCAGAAAACTGTAGGCATAAACACTGAAGGTAGCAATGTTCAGGTCAAAGAACACAAATAGCTTCCTGGTCTAGAAACAGAGTATCATTAATCTCAGCAGAGGAGAATCGTACACGCCACAACAAGACAGAGTACAATGAGAAAGTCAGTCATGCAACTGGAAGCACAGAAAACTGCTACCTCCTACTTCATTGACAGGTATAATCTTACTTCTGAAACTGTTCCAATCAGGTGTCACTCCTGCTCTAAGTATGAACTAGTCCATTTTGAATTGCTCTAGTGTATACTCTGCGTTTGGCTTTCAGAATGGTTCTTAGGCAAAGACTGGGAAGCATGCCTATTCCCCAAGCAGAGCCACAGCCCAGTAACAACTGCTCCACAGCTTGAACTAAAAAACAAAAGGGAAAGACAGTCTCCTCTGCCCCAGGTACGCTGGTCACTAACACCACTACTCTGTAGGCCTCCACTACATGGCTGACAAGCGACATGCAGGCAGGTAGCAAAGACAACACACCTGGAGAACCTGCTTGCGCAAGCTTTACTCCTCTAATAGGGTTCAGATACCCCAACTGTGCAAAACGTAAGAACTGAGGAGTGGCTTTAAAGAAGTAAGTGCTAAGAATAAACAAATGGTTTTATGTTACTCCACTTTATTCAGCTAGTATGAAGCTACCTTCACTACCTTTTCACATCTTTTCCAAGAACCCTTAAGTACAAATTTCCAACCAATTTATTTCTTTACGGTACTTTCTGTTATATCAAGTTCTGCCATCCCTATCTTTTCAATACTTCAAGGTCTAAATGTGAGTGTTGATTGACTGCATTTTTTTTTGTTTGAGTCACCTTAGCCAGCTATTTGCTGCAGAGACAGAAAAAGCACCCATGCTTTCACTAACAGTGGATGTTAAGGCTATGTGAAAATCCCTTAATAACCTTGCATTTCTTCATTTTCAAAGAGCTACTTCATGGTAAGCACTTTTGCTTATGCCCACTTGCCTAGCCTCTGAAAGAGCTGGTTCCAAAACAGCTGTTTCTGGAGTCGTTACCTGGCACATGAACTGTACTGGGTTGGCTGCGTTACCCAACAGACTGCTGATTTCTTCCATGTCGGTGTGATAGGTGATGCTTGCTTCTCCCACCATTAAGTCCCCTGAATAAATCTGCAGAGGCACTGTCCCAGAGGTTAAATCTTTGAAAAGAAAAGAAATCATTGTTAAGAACAATGAAGGGTGGGTGTCAGGAGGATGGGGCCAAGCTCTTTTCAGTGGTGCCCAGTGACAGGACAAGGGGCAATGGGCACAAATTGAAGCAGAGGAAGCTCCACCTGAACATGAGGAAGAACTTCTTCCCTCTGAGGGTGACGGACCCTGGGACCAGCTGGCCCAGGGAGGTTGTTGAGTCTCCTTCTCTGGAGGTCACCCTGCTTCGTCAGGGGGGTTGGACTGGGTGACCCACAGAGGTCCCTTCCAACCCCGACCATTCTGTAATGGGAATGAGCCTGCATCAAATACCCTGAGAACAGGAAGAGTTTGGGGAAACTGCCAGCTGGATATCAAACCAGTTTCTGTTGTACTGAATTCATGAAGAGTCATGACAAAAAGGAGATGATGTTGGTATGAACACCAGGTAGGAAAGCACTTTGGAACTACCTTCTTCATAGCTATGTCAATGCACATCACCTGTGACATGCTAGGTCCTCTGCTAACAACAGTATGGACCACTAACATTAGCAGCACACCACCTCACTAGAAAACCCCACATCTCTCCACCCCAGCTTTCTCTGGAGCAGCTGCTAAGCCATGTCATAAAATATGAGAGCTGGGGAAGAAGGGGCAAGAAACCAGAAAAGTCACCAGGGATTTTTCAGCCCCTGTCAGTCTCACTAGTCTCTGAATGAAATCGCTTTAAGAGAGTTCCAGCTTTGCAACTTTACCTATGCACAGGATTTATTTCCTACCTGCATCTTGGGAGCTCCTTGATGTTTTGTCCAGTGTGCATTCAGAGGTCTGAACTTTGTAACAACAATATTTTAAATCCCGCTGAAATTAATCTTTCCCTGTACATATGCTTGGCTGTTAACAGCTCAGGAAATCATGAAATAGTTAGAGCCACGTGCAAAAGTAATTAAAAATGTATTTCTCTTACTGTTAGAAACTGCAGCGTTTACATCGTTGTACACTCCACCAACGTGAAGGTCATGCTTATAATTCAAAGTACAAGTTGGTTTCCAGGTCCATGTTTAAATTATAAGGCTTGATTTAAGACAGATTAAGTTGAACATTTTTATGTGGGTGAGGTCACCTTCTTTAAATCAATCCACCTCAGCTACGACAACTACTAAGCACTATTCTCAGAGCTGGCACGATGACTCTTCAAGAGGAGAGACCAAAGTAGATTAAATAAAATCACGCTGGCAAACGACGGTCAGGCTGTGAGGCTCTGAATCTTGTCCCTAAAGTTTAGTGAACCTATAGTTTAGACAACCTACAGTTTTGTAAATGTAAATATCTAGAGTGACAAACGTATCTAAATGAAAAGGCAAGCCAGCATAAATAGTTTCAGCTCTGATCACAGAGAGATCATTACACATTAAGCAGATGCTGTTATAGTCATGCTGTTATTTACTGGCACTTACCTCCTCCTGCTGCCCTGCCAATGCTAATGTGGTGGTGGCTATAACACACAGTTAAGTTCAAAGTGCTTTCTAAGCTGCAATCTGCTCTCGGAACTCCCAGCGAGGTGCAATCCTGCCGCTGCTGAGGGGAAAACAGAGTCCCCAGGCAGCAGTTTCTCTCACTTCCTCGTCACGGAAGTATCACAGATGAGAATGCAAGTTCAAGATTTCCTGGCCTCACGTTTTCACACGTTGCAACCTTTCCTCTTATCCCTCTGGCACTTATCAGGACAGGCAGGTTGAGACAGGAAGGAAGCAACAGGGGCAGGAGGGGGGTGGAAATCTTAGCCCAGCTTACTTGGAGCCTCCACAGAGATCGTGTACTCATTCTCCATCTCAGCCAGCACACGCACAGACGACGCATTCTCTGGAAAGAATTCAACTTCAGTTTTCACTTCACCATCTAGTTTACATTTCATGATAATGTAAACTCTTGTCTGCACCTAAAAGAAAACGCGTTACAACACTTGGATTCACAACACAAGAACACTTACTTTGTTCAGTCCCTTTTCTAGGGATTCTGTTCTCACTGCAACTGACACATCAATTGCCATCTGCTATTTTCACAGTCCTGAATGGTTTTCAGGAACATCTTCCAGTCATGGAGTAACTGCGCAGGTGGCTTCTAATACATGTATTTATGCTGGTGCAAGCTGTATGAAGCTGATAAAAGACCAGATATATCAGCTAGATTTATAACTTGATTAAAGCTAGATTTATAAAATGATTTACTTTCAGCTCTATCAGTCTCCTTCCTCAAGCAGCACAGCCCTGTTCCAAACAGAAACAAAGGAAGAAACTTAGACTTTTTCCATCTGAGGGCATGATATACTAAGAAACGCTGTTTTTCAGACAGGAAGCCATGATCCAAGCTCTCCACTTGCAGGACATGCACCAGAATTGTCACATTAGACTGCATCCAGGCTGTGGAGTTAATTGGTTCATTACAGTCACCTTACTCCACTTGCGACCCCTAAATCTCACCAGAATGGAAGATGGGAAGTCAAGAGTGTGAACCTGCCTCACAGCACACAAGACAAGGAGCTATGTTAATGAGACTGTCAGTAAGTGACATTGCAGCCCAGACAACGCCGGGCACTGCATGTTATCAAGCTATTTCTGGGCCTAGGGAACCAAGCTTCTGAAACAGAGACACTGAGAACAGGGGGCTGAGAGAGAAGGTGACAGAAAAGGAATTGGGGACTAATTCCCAGGCCTGTAAAGCTGTCTATTACAGAGCAGCACAGCGGGTTGTACCAGCTCACAGAAAGAAGGTAGCCCAAGGAGTGGACATACAGTACCCCACACCGTATGCGGTCAGGCTGCACCACTGGGTGGTCCCCAGTGCTCTTGGATGATCCATGTTCTTCACTCATGGCAAGTCTTTGGGAGCAAACGGGGTTTTTCTCGTCTTCTGTTTCTGTATCCGTCACAGAGTCACAGCCTGAATCTAAAATAAAGCATACAGAGTCCTGTTACATCACTCCTCTTTGCTGAAAATGTGTATCATACACATACATCCTGAGAAACAGCCAGGGAGATGGTGGGGTGGAACTCACTATTCTTCTCAAAGCAATGCTCAGAAAAGGGGATCTAGTTGAAAAACAGAAACTACAGAGCTTCCTCTTTTTCTTTTTCCCTTAAGAGGATTGCTGGGGAACATTCGCAAAGACACAAAAGTGCTGGACTTGCACTGAACATGCTTATGCAATGAACAACGATGCCATTCTTTGCTGAGATGGGTAGTCCCTTCTCATGTTAGATAGGAAAATTAGTTTGCCAATGTCTATTGTAAGACTATCTGACTCCAGCTGCGTTCCGAGTACGCTGTAGGATGAGCAGCAGCCTTTAGTCGTCTTCTCCTAAAGCAGATGAAGAAAATCAACTTTATTTCATTTCAGCAGTATCTTTAGTTTTCTGAATCCTGCTTATGTTGCTCACCCCAGCTCCCAGGTTCATTACTATGTTGACAAAATACAACATGAGGCAGTAGTCTGAAGGGATCCTGTTCCTCTGGCAAGAACTATGAGCTCCTGTATCTATCTACACAGGAGTGAAACTGAAAAGTACCAGAGCCTTTGCCTAGTAGGAATAACAGTACTCTACCCAAACCGACCCCAGAGTAGAAGTAAACACATGTAACCCCACAATCTGTGTACAAAACAATGTTTTCACTCCTGTTTCCCAGTAACAGCATGGATATTGATGGAAAAGCAAACAAACTGAATTGGTATCACTGGCTGCAAAAAAAACTGGCAAGAATTAAAATAGATTACAGGTCTCCTACTTTTCCCAACTAGTGAAAGTAAATAACAGATGATTTTGCATCTACTTAGTAGAGAGCACGTGCTTTCTAGTTTCTACCTCTCGATTCACATGATTCACACTTTTTTCCCCTGTCTCCCAAAACATGGGGTGAAGGTCACTGACTTCCCCTTGTCAGAAGACTGGCATGAATTCTTAAAACTCTATCTCCCACAGCCAAAATTTTCCAAACCTTGCAAAACTGTGGAGCAGTCAGGGATTTAAGACAACATTTTGGAATTTATTTGTTATTTACTATTTACTGTAAAACCCATCTGTAAAGAGCAGTACAAACCATTTACTAGACAAAAATCTCAGATTTGAACTGGCAGAGTTTTTGTATTAATAAGAAATGTTCTATTTAAAATACTCAGTCCTGATGAGAAAGCCCTAAGCGACCAACCGCACTGTCTAACCTGTGGCATCCACACAATGAAGCTGCCAGCAGTCCAGGTTTTACTCCGAATGCCCCAGCCTCTGGGTACATCAAGTTTCCACAAATCAAGAGAGCCAAAGTTCTTAAAGCAGGCTTCTATTTGGAGTTCATGTCCTGATAGCTTCAAACAGCGAAGCTGGAAGTCAGTCAGCAATTTATATCTAGACTACTTCTTTATCATTATTACCAAAGACAAACTTAGGATATTTGAAATCGTCTGTCATGCACTTTTTTTTTTTAATATGCTTTCTATACATTTAAATGGGATTTTATGAATTGTACGAATGCAACTTCACTTTCATGAGACAGGTTTTAAGCCACCAAATTTTAGCAAAGCATTCCGCTGAAATTTTTGTCACAGATAGTGGTGCACATACGCTTCACTTTAAGTATGTGAATCACTCCACATGGCAAGTAAGCCTACTCACATAAGTACAAGTAGATCGCTGCTTTAACGTTTGCTGTAGAAAGAGTAGAGCCAAAAATCTGCAGCTCTGTAAAGTTCAAGTAAGGCATCACCACCACCATCGACATTTCTTAAACAAACCTAGAACAGTACATTTAATTTAGCAAACGGATTTTAATACTGCACCAACACAAACCTGCAGATTTGACTACGAAACTACTTTGACACAAGGCTATGTACTGAAGGTTGTCTTCAGGATTTTCAGACAGTGGTACTAAGTATTACAGGAAATGAACTGAGATTCTTAATTCCTCAACTCCATATTTTAACTGATACCGCAAGAGCCAGACTCCAATTTTGGGAACCCTTCTGTTAGGGAAGAGTGGACTGTTCCCACCTGGGAGTGCCAGGCTGCCCAGCTGCACAGGAGAAAACAGAGCACTGGTCCCACATCCTTCTCTTGCGTGACAGGTATCGTGTCAGGCATTTGGCGTACACAGAGCAAGACACTATGTCTTTTGGGGAGGACGAGAAGAGGCAGATGTTACTAGACTAGTGTCTCTGTAACCTCTGTTGGTTATTTCCAATATGACTAAATCAGAAAGGCTAAGCTCACCATAGATAAGAGAGAGACCATGATGACCAAATTACAACAAAGCATTCCTGCAACATATGCATAAACTGACATTTGCCAGCAACCTGACATTAAGGGCATCATCCCCATCCCAGCATGGAACCATTAGCATGGTAATTTGTACCTCACTCACCCAACATACGGTCCATTTCGGAGGAAAATGAAACCTAAAACTGTGGATCTCGGCTACAACATCTACAGGAAGCAAGAACAGGAGGGGAACAAGCAGAGAACAAGCGCCCGGGTCTCTCTGTCTTACTGATGTTATTCGATACTAGAAACAAGTTAGCAGATGAAGAATAACTTGAGCTTTTAAGAAGTTCTGGCATTGCCTGATCCTGTCTTGCACTTCCGCATTTTCATAACAGAGCTGACTGCCCAGAGGTCACATGCAAGAACAGAGCTGTTAGGTAATCCGGGAAGAAGCAAGCAATGTTAATCAGTAACGGGATTAACAGCTGACGGAACACGCACTCGGAGTTTCGGATATGAATTATTCATCTGTTATTTCATTCAGAAAATTCTGAAATTGCAATTTACCAACTTCCTGCATAAGTAGTGAAGTGATGCTATGGTCATCTTGCAAGTGCCAGTCATGTGCTACCGACTTGTGAACAGGAACCATCCCATTACACTCAGTAACATCCATGGTCTACAGGGACCTGTTGATAGATCAGGCTTCCCACGTACTTGAGTAATGACAAGCCATTTGCATATACAGATTCAGCAATTCTATCATTGCAATGATACCCAGGCTAGGGAGGCCATCACTGAGGAGATCAACAGACTCTTGAGAAAGTTAAGGGAATACCTGAATTGAGCTTCTCCATGAGCAGCTGCTGCAGGTCAAACAGCTCGTGGCTACGAACGGCTCTGCCCTGACTGGAGGGCGTTTCTGTTCCCCTTTAAACGAAGGCTAGCTCAGGCCACGCTCGAAGGTCTGTGAAAAACTGGTGAGAATAGCAGCAAGGGGAGGAGATGCGGTCCACAAAACCCAACCACATTTCCCCTTGAGGAACGTGCACCCCTCCAGGAAGCATCAGCAGCTGAGCTGCAGCGAGCAGCCCCACACCGGCCCCTCCTCACCAGCCTGCTCAGCTCCCAGCACCGCTGCCCTGCCGAAACTCACCCCCGGAAAAAAAACAGGTGGGGGAAGGAATACAACGCAGCCGGTCAGTTTGACCCGCTGCTGTACAGCGCACGCAACTCACTCTCTCCTCCACTTCCTCCTGGCTAAGCTGGCAGGCTATCGGCATGGAGCCGGCCGCTGCGGTTTCTCAGCAGCCAGCCCTTCCAGCACAGGACATGTGAGTGCTCGGAAGGAGTCAGCAGCCTGGCCAGACCACTCTGCCATCCAGAGATTAACGCAAACAGCGCGACCGGGCAACAGCTTGTCCCCATAGGTTCTGCATGTGCAGACTACCCCCTTGCTAGTATCCATGATCACTTCCCACCCCGTCCATCGACCAGCTCACCAGCCGAGACAACCAGCTTTCACGAGGCCTCAGACCTTCACGTCAGTACACCCAGAGCAAGAGGGAAGGCCCTCAGAGAGAGCTCCTGCTATCACCTGAAGCTTGCAACAGGCCAGCCTCCTTTTCCAAGCGTGAACAAGGACATTAGGTCTCCCAGAGCAACTCCAGCTGCATTTACAAGAAGCAGGCGATTCCTAACAAAGTAGTCAGGGAAAGCAGCCAAAGTTACCTTCCATCAGGCCAACCTCAGAGCCTCTGCTTTACCAAGGAGATACACACTCAGCAGTGAAACATCTTGTGATAACCCCTCAAGACTGGGTTGTACTGTAGCAACATTTCCCCTTTCAGCAGAGCAGAGAGAAGCATGCAGAAAAGCAGCAGCCGAGAAGAAAAAACACAGGAAAACTTTGTTAAAAAAAAAAAAACACTTTGTAAAACTGTCCATACAGAACCAATAAAGCACGGGACATCTCCCCCTCGTCTCCAAACTCCTCACTCCACGCAGCTCATCTACAAGCACAGCACCTAAAAACAGGTTTTCGGTTTTACAAAGAAAGTGGTCACGTTCCATTTGTCCTGTGAAGTGGGAAGTTACAGTAAAGTAGTTCTCAGCCTCCATTAGGGAAACAAGCTGTATTTTACTATGCCAGGCTTGGCTTGAGCCAGTGTGCAGACACACACTTGTGCATCTCCTCAAGAAGCTGTGTCCTTACAAAGAACACAACTGGGTTATTAGGAGATCTGTTGACACAGGAACAGCGTTTCAGCAAATAGCGAGAAGCAAGAAGGTACAGTTTTTACTTTTGTAACCTACTAAGACTATATATCCCTAATACTCAAAAACACACACTACTCCACAGCTCCTCGATAAAGCACATCTCACCCAAACTTCAAGGAACAGGTTTCTTTCGTTCGATTTTAGAACTACAGACATGTAACTGAAAGCAGAAAAACGTTTTTGCAGCAGAGTGCAAGAGGCTTTCATGACCTTCATAAAAATTTAACCCAAGCGAGTGAATTTGTTCACTTTTCTTGGTTCAGTGTTCCCAAATGCTGCTTCCAAGTTATTTTTTAATCTCACCTTGAAACAAAAAGGATTTGTAGAAAGCTGTCACCAAAAGTTGTTTACAATGCCAAGGGCAACTCCACGTCACTCCTGTGGATACTGGAAGGCAGGGATGAGAAAGTGGCCAAC